GAAGTACATATATTACAAATGCAACCATGCTGACTATATAACCCAATTTATCATTATAAAGTTAGTCTTCGTTCGTTAGCAATCGCACTACAGCGTTATTAAATGTAGTTTTGTTTTAAAATGGAGCACGGTAGATGTCCATCAAACTTATAACTTGGTTCAGCAGACGCCTGGTGAAAGTGGTATAGACAGTTCAAAGTATTTTCTGAAAGCATCGGGAGTACACAAAGTAAATTGATGTACTAAGTTGGTGGATGGTGGCTTTACGCCATAAAGTAGACGCAAGACGATACCATCAAGATTTTGGAGAAATAATGAACATTTTGCATCGAAACATGACGTTCAATTGATATAAATATTTCCACCGTTTAAATTGTTGAGCCAATACTATGAATTTGAATATTTAGAAGACCTTTGACTATGGCAAACACAATTGACATAGTTGAAACAAAACGAAAAGGGAAATCCCATCCCAAAGTTTCAATAGACAAATGCATAAAGGTTCTAAAACACGTGGTTCTTGGAAAAGACTTGGACTTGGAAAATTGTGCCCAGAGTAAGGAATCCCTGGTTGCATCAAAAAGGACTGTCGGACAACCATAACAGACAACAAGAAGACTTTGTTACAATGCAAGAAACAAAAAATCTAAGTGAGAAGTTCACCACTTTCATGAGCCTAAAGAAAAAAGTGCACACATCGACTTTGATTCTGGTTTAGCATACATGGTCGTGTACATAAAATCCTGTTTCATTGCTTAAGCAAGACAATGCGCTAAAACCATAGACATTCTTTTACTGGGTGGCGCAAAAGTACTGGCACTAAAGAAAATACTTTTTTTTTTTATATGACATTTTCTGTCATTCTGTTGTTGAAAATTGTGTAGTGAACAAATGTAAAATACACTGAAAATAAACATGGACCGTTTTACTCCCCAAGAACGTGGAATAATTGTGTCAATGTTCTTACGGAATAATTCATCAGTGATAAGAACACAACGTGAATTTCGTCGACGATTTCCCCACCGTCCGGCACCGATTGGTCGCACAATTCGACGTTTTGCCACACGCCTTGAAGCAACTGGCTCAACATTGGATAGACCTAAGTCTGGGAGACCAAGAACAGGCCGTTCAGCTGAAAATATCGATGCTGTGCGCGAATGTGGAAGAGTGTCCAGAAACATCAACGAGGCGACGTGCCACGCAATTGGGCATTTCCAGACGGACCCTGCAGCGTATTTTGGTGAAAGACTTAAAGATGTTCCCGTATAAAACTCAAATGATTCATCAACTGCTGCCTGCTGACCACCGAGCTCGTCTAGATTACTGCCAGCGCGTCATAAACCTCAACCTTGAAGAGGATGATTTTCCTTCAAAATTGGTTATGAGTGACGAAGCGCATTTCCATCTCTCAGGGCATGTCAATAAGCAGAATACTCGGTTCTGGGGCACTGATAATCCGCGCATTATTCAAGAAACACCTCTACACCCACTAAAAGTTGCTGTATGGTGTGGCATCTGTGTTGACAGAGTGATCGGACCCTATTTTTTCGAAGACGCTGGAGGCAATGCGATAACTGTCACTGGAGAACGCTACAGAACCATGTTACGTGAGTTTTTGATACCCAGTTTGGACGAATTGGGGCTGCAGCACATCTGGTTTCAACAAGACGGCGCTACGGCACACACAGCGCGCGACGCTATGGACTTAGTGAGGGACGCTTTTCCAAGCCGAGTTATCTCTCGTTTTGGCGATTTGCCTTGGCCTGCAAGATCACCCGATCTGACCAGTCCAGACTTCTTTCATTGGGGTTTTTTGAAATCTCGGGTGTATGTGAACAAGCCACAGACTCTCGCAGCTCTAAAAGAAAACATTCGTCAAGAAATAACGAACATATCGCAGGAAGTGTTACGGCAAGTTATGCAAAATGTCATAAATAGGGCTCAAATGTGTATCAACTCTGGAGGTCACCATTTAAAAGACATCATCTTTAAATCCTAATGGTACGAAATTTAATGGCACAAATATACATTTAAAAAAACCTAAATCTAGTTTTCTAATTTAGAAAAAATGTTATAGCTGAACCAAATAGGGTCTTTACTTTTGCGCCACCCAGACCATCTCAATTTACCCACATTCGACCCTGACAAGCAAGATACGAATCACTCGCGATGGATTGGAAGATCTGGCGCGCCGATTGTAGCGGATGACCCATAGGGTGATTTAACATCTGACCCTTCCCTACACGATTCGATCCCCTACCAAGGGCCTCCCCTTAGCCGGGAAAATAAGGAAAAATACGGTTGCAAAACCTTGGTGTAATACAGCTGATTCCTGCTTTTTCGAAAACCCAACAAGAGGTATCAACATGTATTAGCTGTCAGCAAGGTGCTCAAAGGTGAGACATCTACGCGGATGTCTCAAATTGCATTTTAAGGAATGAAATGGATGGATTTTAAATTACTTTTTACACCAAGATGGCATGGAAATATTAGCACGAATGCACAAATTACGAGAACCATTTCTATTTTCTAATCTTGAGTTCTCTCGCTCTCTGGAAATCCTTTCGTAGCAACGCAACACTAGCGCCACTGCAGCAGTTCTGCCGAAACGCACTTTACTTCGGAGTCAGAGGCCTTGTCTGTTCAACATTAAAATATTTAAGTTGACTAACCGTGTCAATTGTGTGATTTCTGTTATAAAAATGGTAAACTAAAATGTAGATTTGCCACAGTCAAATATGCAGGCACAAAATCTTATCACTTGCAGAATCCTGGGGCAAACACAAATAAAAGCGAACTCCGCACTAGACGTGGAGTTGCTGAAACCTTTGCCATGATCACTACTACACCATGAATTTACTTTAGGTGCTTATTAAGCGTCAAATATGCACAGGGAATTTGTTATCTGTACATTTTGTTTAGAGGGTAGATTGAAATATTAATCTAGCTCAACATAGAGTTTTATTACATGGTGACAGCGATGTAGTAGGAAATATAAAGAAGTACATATATTACAAATGCAACCAAGCTGACTATATAAACCAATTTATCATTATAAAGTTAGTCTTCATACGTTAGCATTCGCACTACAGCGTTATTAAATGTAGTTTTGATTTTAAAATGGAGCACGGTAGATGTCCATCAAAATTAATTTTATAACTTGGTTCAGCAGACGCCTGGTGAAAGTGGTATAGACAGTTCAAAGTATTTTCTGAAAGCATCGGGAGTACACAAAGTAAATTGATGTACTAAGTTGGTGAATGGTGGCTCTACGCCATAAAGTAGACGCAAGACGATACCATCAAGATTTTGGAGAAATAATGAACATTTTAAATAAAAAATATTTCCACCGTTTAAATTGTTGAGCCAATACTATGAATTTGAATATTTAGAAGACCTTTGGCTATGGCAAACAATTGACTAGACATAGTTGAAACAAAACGTAAAGGGAAATCCCATCCCAAAGATTCAATAGACAAATGCGTAAAGGTTCTAAAACACGAGGTTCTTGGAAACCGTGCCCAGAGTAAGGAATCCCTGGTTGCATCAAAAAGGACTGTCGGACAACCATAACAGACAACACGAAGACTTTGTTACAATGCAAGAAACAAAAAAATCTAAGTGAGAAGTTCACCACTTTCATGAGCCTAAAGAAAAAAGTGCACACATCGACTTTGATTCTGGTTTATCATACATGGTCGTGTACATAAAATCCTGTTTCATTGCTTAAGCAAGACAATGCGCTAAAACCATAGACATTCTTCAAGTGTTCCATTTTTAGAAATATTTATATTTTTACAATTTCATCAAAGTAGCTCTATATAATCAGTTTTTTTTTCTCTTGTTAACCCTTTATAAGTTAGAGGCGATATTTCCACCATAATTTTTATTGATTGCTTCAACTGAATTAGTGATGTCATTCGCACTGTGCACAGACACCTTGTTTGTGATTTTCATAAAAAATAAATTAAGATTTTTGTTATAAGTAAAAAATAGCTTTTTGTACTACTATTTTTGTAATAAATACTTGATGTTTACAAAGTTTTTTATTTTAAATACAACCAAAAATAAATTATATCTGACTGGTAGAAGGAATATATTTCCCTCCATAGAAATATATAGAGTTCCTATTAATTTAAAGAAGTCATAACTTTTTCCAAACACTCAAAATACAAAACAACAGAACTTCAAACACCAACAAAAACGAAAAATAACAATAGGTTATAGGGTACAGATTTTGTATAAGATGGCAATTGAGCATAGCCACTTTTAACACTAAAATAACAGTGACTGCTCAAAGACATTTACAAAATTTATATAAATGCATTGCCCACCTTAAAAAGACAAGGAGATGTATAGAAAGATGTACTTCCCTTGCCTTTGTGTCCCCACAAAATTAATATTCTATTGAATTACCTTGCCTCGATCAAAATATAGATAATTCCAATAACAAGACATGGTAGAGACGTAGAATTATACAACCAAAGTTATATTAAACTGTGTTATCTTAATCTTTTATTGACGTGGCACAAGAAAATAGAAGAAGGCATTTTACGAGACAACACCATCTTATCGCAATTGTAAAAACACAATTTGAAATACTTTTTAAATGATTTATTTTAATAATAAAGAGTTATAAAAATGGATACCATCTTTGGGGAGCCAAAAAAAACACCAAATTGTTCAATATTGAAATTGACGAAGCGATTTGACAAGATCGATATAAAGCAAAGAGTACAGATACAATAAAGTAACGTAATTTGTTAAATAAAAGAGTAAGTACTGTCTTTTCCTATTGCTATAATTTTTAATTCAAAATAGAAATGAAAATAATTTTTAAATGTCCTATTGATATTTATTTCCTGGATCTTAATAAAACATTCTTAAAACAAAAAGGTACATCTTAGATTTCCTTGTATTAATAAAATGTGTTAAATTATCTAAACTCTATGCCTCTTTGCTCTATGACAACTCTGACGTTTGCAGTCGTCGATTATAAGCAATTTTTTCTTTTTATCAAAAAAATAAATAGAAAATGAACAATTTCTTCGTAATTTAACATAATAAACCAAATCTTGTAATATTCATTCGTGTACAAAGTATTTTAATTTGTTTATCTACATAATGGAAGACGTAATAGAAGATAAAACTAATATAAACCAAGCAAGAGTTATTTGTATATGTTGTTTATCAACATCCGTACCTTTAATAAAACTTTTAAACTGTAAACATGTGTTATCGTTTGCAAAAATCATAGACAACAAGGTAATAAAATTAATAAGTAACTTAAATTAAACTTGACTAGGTTCAATCATGGCCCTACGTGGTGTTACAGAGTTACGACGAAGACTAATTTACATAGCAATGGTAACCTTATCGCAATAAGCGATCTCTTCCAGGCTGGCTACATAAAGATGTTAGAAGATATTTCAAGAAAGGTTCAATGGGTCTTTATTATAGGCTTAGATGTAGAACATAGTTTGGAAGAACACATAGGCTACTAAATTTTTTATTCTGTGCGGACGGAGTAGGATACGACAGCCAGTATATGAAAATAAAAGCTTGAGTGTTAATTTAGTAAAATACAGTTTCAGGTGGAGTTCAAGGATGCATACGCATGTTACCTTTGTCATAATTTGATAAAAAGAATTGATATATTTAAGCACCAAGTTGAAGAATCTATTTCAACTTTGTACGAAGTGGTGAGTTGTTTTTTAAAATAGTTTTTTTTTTATTTCAATTGTTATCTGTCAGTTTATAATCTTACTAGACATATAATCTGCATGTTTACTATATCTTGTTTTGATGTAACTTTCCATACATTTATGCTAATATTTTTATTATAAGAAAATATTTCGTGAAAATTGTGTGATAAATCATGGGTTTCTGAGACCAAAATCTCCATTTAAAGCATATTGTTAGTTCTGTGTTACGGTGAAGGAAAACATTGTGATGCTGCACATATCTGACAATCTCAAAGATATGTGTCAAGTCTAGCACTAGGCCAGCGTGGTTGACTATGGCCTAATCACCCTTAACTTAGGGTAGGCTCCGAGCCCATCAAGCCTGTGAGAATTATCTATTGTTGTATATAGTGGTAGAGCTTGCTTTAACATCTTCGCACGAATTGTCCCGACTCGCCCGGTGAAATACCACGACCACACAGAAGACATGCCTCAAGTGGAAGTAATTCGGCGTGCAGTCTGATGAGTGTGCGTCCCGGAGGCCTAACTTAGTCCTCTTTCCCTTCCTACCCTTTTTCTTATAAGGAAAGGATGGGAAGTGGAATTGGACTTTCCGGTTGAGAGGATGCATGGAAAGGGAAGATATTTTCTTTCTGTGCATCCTCTCCTCCGTTGATTAAAGTTAACGCATATGCAATTGCGTATGTCTATGGGCGGTCACTTCGCTATTTCAGCGATTTCAGGTGGCCGCTCGCTTGTTTGCCACCTTATGATATATAAAAAAAATAGAGATGTATTTTATGTTTCAGCACAAAAAATTAACTATAGAACCGAAGTTATTCCAAATAGCACCAATTGAAATTAACTTTACAACAAACAATGAACCTATAAAAAATATATTCAACCAAATTATAAATATAAAAACAGAAATAACAGAGATAAAATACGAAGAGGATTGCACAGATTATGATGTACCTTTAAAGATTAAAAAGATAAAAGGTACAAAAAAAGTTAAAGGTACAAAAAGAGGTCCTAATTATGAAGGGAAATTGAAAATTGTTATGTTAAGTTATGAAGAGATGATGGAAGAAAGAAAGAAGGAATCGGCAAAGATATCTTATATTAATTTACCTTTTAAATGTGAAGATTGCGTTATGGGATTTGATCATGAAGTTACGTTAAATATGCATATCATACAAAGACACAGTAATGTAAGTACGTTAAAAAATTTATTTTATATTTATAATTCTTGTGTCACAATTTTCGTTCCCACACTCCTCCGGAACGGCTTGACCGATTCTCATATAATTTTGTGAGCATATTGAGTAGCTCTGACAATCGGTCAATATCTATTATTTAATCTCTCGCAGACGGAGTTGTGGGCGACAGCTAGTATATATAAAAATCAATTGCTGTTTATTAATCTTATCTTGGTTTGACTGTCTAGCTGTTGCCTGGATCTTCATCGGCATGGAATTTTAAAAAAAACTGAATAAGTAGTCTTTGTGTTCTATATGTACACATTTCATCAAAATCTGTTAACTTGTCCCGGAGATATCTTCAAACTTACATCTGTACATTCATATGTAGGGTGTTCCAAAAGGTTACGTACATAGGAAGGGGGATGATAGGGGTGGTCACAAGGGTCACCAGAAAAATAAAATAAATATTCCCCTCTGGGTATTAAAAAAAATAAATGGCAATTTTAATCTTTAAAATCTTTGTTAGTTGTATTGTTTTTTTTATTTCATATTGATAAAGGTTTATTGACGATAATATAATAGCTTTTTTTTAATATAGCAATATTTGTAGGTCATCGGTTACAAAATTTTTTATTGGATAGTCCATTTATAGAGGAAGGCTTTAGGTTATATAACATTACGCTGCGACCAATAGTTTTTTTTAAATCTCGCGCGAACAGAGTCGCGGTTGACAGCTAGTTTATATATGTAAGCTTCTGTATGTCATAGACAATTTGTTTTTTTTTTTAAAGTAATTTTTTTATAATTTATCTTTTTTATTTTTACAGAAAGAAAGTGGTTACGTTTGTGATATATGTAATTCAGTTTTAAGTACAGATGCATCTCTTAAGGAACATAAGAAACGACATATAAGACGGTAAATATATACAGGATGTCCTGAAAAAACTTATATAATAGAATACCATAGAATCCTTAGTCAAAAATATTACGATACTAGCTTTAACCCACGACTCCGTTGTGTGGGATTAAAAAAAACTTAGCTTGTATGTACTTCCAGACTATGTTCTATATGTATGTCAAATTTCATCAAGATCCATACATCTATACATTCACATTTATATTAGTAAGATTTTTTTTATAAATTGGCAAGCAACTTACAGTAAAGTTGTTTATTATCGATTGAGGGGTCAAAAACAAGATTCCCTTCCACCAATTCTCGTACCCAGCCTTATATGGATTGGTAGGGATTACTTCTATCCGTAGTTTTTTAAGCGCTAGATTTTTTAAGTTTGCAAATTTACATGTATTCAATTATAGTAGTCTATATGTTATTCCTCACTATGTTCTATATGTATGTCAAATTTCATCAAGATCTGTTGAGCTATTCCGGAGTCATCTTCTAACAAACATCCATACACAAACTTTCGTATTTATAATATTACTAGCTGCTTGAAAAAAAACTTAATAATTAGTCTATGTGTTCTTCCAGACTATGTTCTATATGTATGACAAATTTCATCAAGATCTGTTCAGACGTTCTGGAGATATCTTCTAACATACATCTAAACATTCGCATTTATAATATTAGTAAGATATAAGATATCAAAATATGTTACATGTGTTTTACTTATATTAATAACATAGTTTTTGTTCCATTTTCATAATAAAATCTACAGGATGTTCATTCGAACATATAAATTTTTGAATCTATTCAGATTCAAAAATTTATATTTATCCCGGACACCCTATATCTTTGATTATATTTCAGTTATGAATGCTTAGAATGTGGTCTACGGAAAGCTGATTTACATTACGTTATTAAGCATTACAAAGAGGAACATGGTCCCATACATACAATCCATACATGTGTCGACTGTGGATTTACTACAGAGTATGTATGAATGTGTTACATTTACATATGTACATTTATCCTATGTTGTTACGGCGAAGGAAAACATCGTGATGCTGCACATATCTGACAAACTCAAACATATGTGTCAAGTCTTGCACTGGACCAGCATTCACTATCATATACTCTCAATTAGTGGAGGTGCAGAGACCCTCAGTGGAGACATATAGTGAGCTGATGAATTATCTGATAGTAGAGCCCGGTTTATCTTGGCAGGAATTCTCTAATCGTGTGCAATACCATGACCACACAGAACGGCTTAAATGCTATTCCAACTAGTCTGATGAATGTGTCCCGGAGGCCTAATTTAGTCCTTTTCCCACCCTTTTTCTTATAAGATAAGGATAGGAATTGGAAGTGGATTTTCTGGATGAGAAGATGCATGGAAAGGGAAGATATTTTCTTTCTGTGCATCCTCTCCTCCGTCGATTAAAGGTAGGCAATGCATATGCCATTGCGTATGTCTATCACTTCGCTATTTCAGCGAAAAAAAAAAGATGAGAATTGGTAATAATTTTTAGATCTAACCGTACATATAGATATCATAGGGAGAAACATCGTAGTAAGAAGAAATGTAGACAATGTGGTAACACTTTTGCCAATCCGAGTGCACTCCGGACACATGTATTGTAAGTATCCACTTATATATATAAATATATATATTTAACTCTGTTAGTGTGATTTAATAAAAACTTAGTAGTCTATGTGTTCTTCCAGACTATGTTCTATATGTATGACAAATTTTATCAAGATCCGTTGAGTTGTTCCGGAGATATCTTCTAACATACATCAATCCATCCATCCATCTAAATATTTGCATTTATAATATTAGTAAGATATAAGAAAGGCTGTATGGATCTTGATGAAATTTGTCATACATATAGAACATAGTCTGGAAGAACACATAGACTACTTATTAAGTTTTTTTTTTCTTTAATTCCGCGAACGGAGTCGCGTGCTACAGCTACTATTTATGACATGTGTAAACTATAATTTATATCTTGTGTATTTTTTTAATATTCCTACAATTATAATGGTTTTTTTTTAACTTTTTTTCTGTCGCAAATCGCTAACTTTATAAAAAATAGTTGGCTATTAAAAAACCTTAATGAAGTCATAACCTTAATGTTTTTTTTTCTTAATATATTAACACTAATATATATGAGCGACTATGGCTCAGTGGTCAAGTTGACTTGTAATCTGCATGCTCCTGTGTTGTAATCCCGTGATGTATGAATGTGTTACATTTACATATGTACATTTATCTTATGTTGTTACGGTGAAGGAAAACATCGTGATGCTGCACATATCTGACAAACTCAAATATATGTGTCAAGTCTTGCACTGGGCCAGCATTCACTATCATATACTCTCACTTAGGGAACACTCAGAGACGCTCAGTGGAGTATAGTGAGCTGATGATGATATTTTTATGCAATGTGTAATTTACAGTACAGTACACAGTAAATCAGGTCGTACGTACATATGTGCTGTTTGTGGTAAGACGTATCGTGCTAAATCCAGTCTGGTGGCACATCAGACCTTGCACGCGACAGGACCAACTCCTGACAGCTTCTGTGTCACCTGCAAGATACATTTTAGGAACGCGTTAGCTTTGAAACATCATCTCAAGACACATTCCAAGCATGTTAGAGAGGCTGATAAGAAGTAAGTTTTTTGTTAGTTTTTTCCTGACCTTTTCATATTTTTTACTGACGTGTTTTTATTTTTTCCTGACTTATTTTTCAAAAAAAATGTATGTCATATTTTTACTTATTTTTGGGGTTCCGTACCTCGAAAGGAAAAAACGGAATGCTTATAAGATCACATTGTTGTTCGTCCGTTTGTGTGTCAAGACCATTTTTTTTTACTTAAGTATTTATATATTTCTTTCCTGACTTAAGTGTCATAATTTTTTTACTGACTCCTTTACTTTAATTGATGTTTTTAATATGTGTCAGATTTTCCTGACCTTTATGTCTTTCTTCTTGAATTTTAAATGTGATTTTTTTTTAAATTTGGATGTCATATTTTTTACTGACTTTTTTCTGTTTTCTTTAATGAAATATTTAATATAAATTTCCTGAAATTTATGTTCTTTATGTTTTTAATTGACTGATGAGTTTTATATTTATCCTGATTTGATTTTATATATTACTAACTTGTATGTCATAATTTTTCCTGACTTTTATGTTTTTTTTTTGTCAAACTTTGATATCATCATCATCAACCTGCCCTTATCCCTATTGAGGGTCGGCACATTATGTACTTCTCCATACATCAACCCTGTACATACTGTAAAATGTTTTGGCTTTAAAAGCTTTTACTGACCGGCCGCCTGACGCCAAACCCTACTCAGGGACCTACTTATTAATTATTTTATTAAAGTACTCACTAAAATTATTACAATGAATTATAAAATATAAAACACAGGAAAAAAAACAGTTGGCACAGATGTAAAGTCAAAATATTATTAATAAAACTTGGATATGTCTTATAAAAATAAAACTAAATAATATAATATAATATATTTTGGTAGTTTAATTAATTAGTTTTATTAAATAGTTTATTATTAATTCAAATAAGCTTCTGATGTAATCAATTTAGAAAAAAACTTGAATGCATTTAATTTATAATATTATATTACTATTCTATTAAGTTTTTAAGCAACTTATATTGTAATTTTTAATTTAATTTACACGTGTCTTATATATTTCCTGACTTATTTATTTTACTTTTCCTGACTGTACCGAGTTATATTTTTCCTGACTAATATATTTAATATTTTATAGATTTACTTGTGAAGAATGCGGTTTGAAATTTTTACTTAAGAGATTATTAGAAGAACACATTGATTGGGAACATTTGAAGAGAGAAAAATATGTCTGCGAAGATTGTAGTAAGGTAAGACTTCAAAACCGGTTATCATCATCATCAGCTCACTATAAGTCCCCACTGAGGGGCTCGGAGCCTACCCTAAGTGAGAGTATGTGATAGTGAATGCTGGTGCAGTGCAAGACTTTACACATATGTTTGAGTTTGTCAGATATGTGCAGCATCACGATGTTTTCCTTCACCGTAACAACCGGTTATAACAACGGGTTACTTATTCAGTCGTTATAAACGATTGAATTTTGTAACCGATATTATTGTAAGTAATTTTAGTTTACATAAGCAAAGTTAAATTATATTTTTTCACAGAGTTTTTGTATGTTTTATTAACAAAAAAATAACTCTAAAACTCTGGGATATTTTTTAATTCAAGAAACAAAACATATAGAATACTTGAAATCTTTCTCCTTTTTTGAATTCAGTTAAAAAAACAAAGGGTTTAAATTTATGTCAATCGATTTAACGTAGATGGCGCTTTAACTAATTTTGAATATGTAACTTAATATAGATGGCGCTGTATTTAATTTTTTAATATTTACGTTTTTAACGTGTCTTTTCCAGGTATTTAAAAATAAATCAGCTCTAAAAAGACACAAAAGTTACGTTCACGATAAGAAAAGACCTCCAAAGAATAAAATATGCGATCATTGTGGACAAGGATTTACTGTAAGTATATACTAATATTATAAATGTGAATGTTTAGATGAATTTTAGAAGTTATCTCCGGAACAGCTGCATGGATCTTGATGAAATTTGACATACATATAGAACATAGTCTGGAAGAACACATAGATTTTTTTTCCATCCATTTATTATAGGAAAAGTGTAGAAAAAACCAAGACTAGTGTCATTCTGTACTTTCTTGAGTAATATAGTCAGTGGTATCTTTTTGGTTGTTTAATAAATTATGTTTTCTTTTACAGACTTTACAAATATTACGTACCCACGTGCGCACACATACAGGAGAAAGACCTTTACAATGTACTAAGTGTCCCGCGACATTTGCGCACAATGGAGCACTTTACACGCATAATAAATTGCTGCATACGAATAAATAGTGCCCCCGGAGCAATGGTTATTGAGTTCGTGCCCCCAAATGTGGGGTCACTGAAACTGTTATGAGTTTCTAAAAGTTTACGTGAATTTATGACGAGTTAGTAACTACAGTGCGGGAATTACTTATGTTTTATGAGTTTTGTAAATTGATATTGAGTTTGTGCCCCCACATTGTTAATTTGAGTTGTATAGAGTTTAGTGCCCCCAAGTATTGGACATCAGTTCTTTCTAGATTTTGTTTTCATTGTGGGGTCACAGTTAATTTTAAGTTTTTGCCACTAGTTAGTAATGAGGTTAGTGGGGTCACTGTTATTTTGTAATAAGTTTTGTGCCCCCACAATGGGGTCACTGGTACTTTGTAAATAAGATGAAATAAAATACATTATTGAAAATGATTTTTTTATTTAACATACATTTCCTATGAAAATAAATTCAATGCACCCATTTAAATACATTTGATATAAATATTTTTCCATAAACCCTTTCAACCCTTAAAAAAACATCCCCTCAATTGTACAAAATAGTACCTAATTTTAATAAATACCAGTTTGTTCATTCCACAATAAAAGGCCTTTTAAAAATTATTAACAAAAAAAAAGATTCTGAAAAAATTAATGACATTCCCTATTACAGCTGTCAGATCGCGTTTGACAGCTATACACATCTGTTTAATTATTTTTGACCGTAGATGTGTTTGTCACGACAACTGCCTAATACAAGAAATTGAGGATAATCAACAATCACGTTAAGGTATTTGTCGAATAAAACAAGTCGGAAGTCAATATATTTGACAGCTGCTTAATTTCGTTTGACATCTGTTAGTTGGAGTTTGACAGCAATCAATTATAATTTAAACAGGTGATAAACTTCGCAGTTTGAAGTTGGACAACTGTCAAGATTATTTGACAGCTATCATAAGTAGCTTGACAGTTGACTTTCAGATGTGGTTTGACAGCGTTTAGATCGACAGTTGTCGGCTGTAGCTTCGCAGCCGTCTGGTGTATTTTGACAATTGCAGATTGACAACTTGACAAGTGTCGCTTGACAGTTTGACATTTGTCTAAAGCATCTTCCGTATCATGTAGTTGAGAATGCCTCCATGCTTGAAATAAGTTAAATCAACTTCGGTGTCAAAACGTATTTTAACTTGGAATGATTTTCCGTTGTCCATCTAAAAAAAGATTACATCTTATTCCGATCCAACCACAAAACCATAGACAAACACTCAGACACTAAAGCAAGCTAATATAGAAAACTAGTAGGTTTTATTGATGATTTCTCTAACCACGGCCTTTAAATAGCTTATTTTGACTTAGAAATGAAACGAAGAATATTGCTATAAAGGTTGTCATGACAGTTTTCCATTACTTGTCAGATTATACTTACAGTGACAGTGGCCATGTCTCCAGGTGACAAATTATCAGGTAATTGCACAGAATACGTCTCCTTGCCTGTTATACCCAAAGATTCGGCATTTTCCCCTTCCAGGAATTGCAGGGGAATGATACCCATTCCTACTAAATTAGAGCGATGGATGCGCTCAAAAGACTCCGCGATAACAGCACGAATTCCCTACGAAATAATAAATTTTAAATAATTGCGTTTTTTTTTCTGTAAACGGAACACTTCAAAACACTCTGACTGTACATTTTGTAGGATTATGTCGGCTCCATAATCAAATAAGTTCACGCTTTTTCAAGCCTTATTCACCTATCAGTTAGTACTTTGTCCCGCGTTCCGTCTATCTTTAGAGTTCCGTACATCGTAGGAAAAAAACGGAACCCTTATAGGATCACTTTGTTGTCCGTCTGTGTGTCAAGACAGTTTTTCTCAAAAACGCGTGAAGGTATTTAACTGGAATTTATATTTTTTCATGACCTTATCCTACTTATATAGAGTCGTCGCACAAGATTTTGCCTTATTTTTTTACAGCCTAATGCCAACAATAATTGAGAGGAATCCTACTAATATTATAAATACGAATGTTTGTATGTATGTAAGAAGATATCTCCAGAACAACTCAACAGATCTCGATGAAATTTAGTATAAATATAGAACATAGTCTGGAAGAACACATAGACTACCATTTTTTTTTAAATTCCGCTAATATTAAATACAGTATAAATTATTTATTATTTTATTTAAATTTATTGATGTCTGTACGTTAATCCTGTTAATATAGAGTTTAAAAAACTTATTTGAAATACGCGTAATACTAAACACAGTGTAAACCTACTCATACTTACCAATAAGAATGGTCCTTTAGCTGCCCAATCTCTGCTTGAACCTGAACCATAGTCTTTACCTACAATAGCGATCAGGGGAACGCCTTCTGACGCGTATCTATATGAAAATGGGGTAAGCAGAAATAAACAAATAGCCTATAAATATTTTTAATACAATCATGTGGAGTGTTTTAAGATATTTTTTAATTTAAAAAAAAAACTGTTTTTTTTTAATATTTCTCTTTTACGTAAATACGTACATTTAACCATTACACCATTGGGTATATACTATACTAGCTGTCGCCCGCAACTATATCCGCGTGGATATATAAAAAAAACTTAATATATAGATAAGTTAAATAAAAAGCAGCTCTTCAAGGCATAAATTCGATAAAAAAAATGAATAAATAGTATCCTATGTCCGTCTCCAGGCTCTAAGCTACCTCCTCACCAATTTTCAGGCATATCGGTAAAGTCGTTCTTGAGTTATAAATAGTGTAACTAACACAACTTTCTTTTATATATATATAGATATAAAAATCAATTGCTGTTCGTTAGTCTAGCTAAAACTCTAGAACAGAAGGGATTTATCTTATCTTGGTATTGAATTTTTACTGTAATGTCTAGGAAAAGTTTAACTCTTTAGGAACCTTTTTTTAATTCCCCGCGGACGGAATCGCGGGCGACAGCTATTATATTAATAAAATTGGAGTATCTGTATGTTATATCGAGACAAAAATACATGAAATTTTCATTGCTATATTATCTGCATGTCTGCAATTTTGCGTATGTTCCTTATAATCTGGGGAACGTGTGAACAGACATTGAGGAGACTTGAACTGGAAGGTAGCTGATGTACGCTGGAGTTATATAGCCTACTTATTTCTAATTCTGTGCAGGCAAAGTCACAGGCAAGTGCTATCTTACTAATATAAATGCCAATTAGTTTGTTAGAAGATATCTCCAGAACTGCTGAACAGATCTTGATGAAATTGGTATACATATTTTTTTAAATTCTACACAGACGAAGTGACGGTCTATCACTAGTATTACCTTTCAGCAGCATCGAAGACATCCATGGGATCGTTGGTGGGTTGGTGTACGGTGGTGGGTCCGGGGCGAGATGATAGTTTGTTGACGAGACGGATGTTGGCGAATGTGCTGCGCGACATCACCGCGTCGTTGCCGCGTCGAGAACCGTACGAGTTGAACTCACGCGGAGACAGACTGGATATTAATTTTTTTATCAATTTTTTAAAAAAAACTTAATTTTTTTTAAATTACATAAATAGACAACATTTGAGGGTGGTTAAAGCAGATAAATCATAAAAAGTGATGAATCATAAAAGGTGATGAATCATAAAAAGCGATGAAAGACAAACGTTAAGGGGTGGTAATAAAATCACAAAATAATAAAAAGTAAGGGCTGGCAAAAGGTGATGAAAAATCGAAGGTTGGATAGTAATTAATGGTAAAGCTAATAAGCGAGTAAAAGTCAAGATGTGGGATCGCTGACAGTATGAATACAAAAACAGACCCCCTATTAGCGAGATATCTGGCTGCAGGAGAGTTCCTGGCGATGGATCCTGCAGGAGAGATGTGGTCAGTGGTGACAGAGTCACCCAGCAGCAGGAGACAACGAGCATTAATTATACCACGTATTGTTGGTAACTCCTGGAATTGTATAGTGGCATTTGGTCTTTACTATGTATATAATAATTAATCGAACTCAGAGACGTTAATTAAAAGAGTAAAAGGTGCTTTAGTGATAGTAAAATTAGAAAAAAAAAACTACGTGGTATATTTATTCCATTTCAAAATTTATCATTTTTTAGAACTTTTATAACTTTCGCGATAATAAATAAAAAACAAATACGTAGTTTCAAGAGAATTTTTTTTAATTTCAAGTGTATCCTTACGGTGAAGGAAAACATCGTATTGCTGCACATATCTGACAAACTCAAACATATGTGTCAAGTCTTGCACTGCACCAGCATTCACTATCACATACTCTCACTTAGGGGAGTTGCAGAGACCCTCAGTGGAGTCATATAGTGAGCTGATGATGATGAAGTTACTAACTAATATTTACCTTGGTCATGCCATCAAAAAATGGTGGTTTTTTGATATAAGTAGAATTAACATCCCAGCCGTATAATTTCCCGCGGGGCACATCCAGAGCCTGCCACGC